TAAGTAAAAGTAGTTGTAGAGGTGGGTATTAACTTTGTTTCTGGCTGCCAGAATTCTGTAGGTGCACAATGTACTAACTGGTACTCAATGTACTAAAACAGCAACAACAAAAAATAGTAGGTGGTAATCTAAGCTTCCATAACATATCATGTAGTGAACTCTGACATTCTGATGGCACAATGATTTAGCACTGTGTCTGTAAGATTACGCTAGGTACATTTGCAGGTATTTCAGGTAACTTTCTTCATCATGTTTAATTTTTGTATTTTAAAAATGTGGGAGAGTCTACAGATCCAGACAAGAAAATAGAGTAAGAGAATGACACTCTCTCACATTGAAGAAGATGAGAATAAATTACTGATTTCCCCACCCGCCCCCCGTTTACAAATAGCAATCTATCTGTGGGTATAGAGGAAACACAAATATAATTGTTTTATCATTTTCTTCCTTTATCTGGATGTTGTTTCATTTGCGTTCTTTAGTCCTTGTTTTTGTTTTTTTGCTTTGTGTTCATGTTTGTTTTGCATATGTCATTAGAGGTGTGCTGTGCTGGACAGTAGAACCATTTTTTAGCAGAGGGTGGTGTGTGTGTGTCTGTGTGTGAGAGAGAGAGAGAGAGAAAAGCTGCTGTCAATCAGTCCCTTGTGCAGTGTGTTACCTTTTCCTCTAATTAAATCTTCCCTCTACTGTTTACCATATAAGCCTTGTTCCTTTACACACTCACTTGCTTTCAAACTGAGGGGAGAGCATCTGCACCCCTCAAGACACAAAATGGAACTATGAAACATAGAAAAAATGCCTATTAACCTTTTGTGTAAACCTGTTTTTCTTATAATGGATGACCTTTGAGAATAGGGGAAGATTATCACCATGAGAGGTTACAAATAGTCTATTAATTGTTATGTTGTTAATTCTTGTTTTATTTTCAAACATTTCACTTTCCTAAAAATGGGAAACTCCCATAAATTCTGCCACTTGGGGAAATGCATCACCCTTTAGTTTTTGTTGAAATGAGCCAGACGCCTCCAGGGCAGTCACGTGCCTTTTGTATAGCCTTGCACTTACCATTTTTGGGCTGCTAGATAATTAATATTGTATCTGATCTGTTTAAACTTTTCCATTGAGGTCCTGAATAAAAAAGCTTGAACTGCATAATATGAACCTTAACAGCAGACGCTACTGCAATCAATGGAAATTATCTAAGTGGATAAAAAAATGGCGAATTATCCCCTTACAATGCCCTTATTTCCTCTTCCCTGTATCCCTCCAAAAAGAGAAAAATAGAGGGTGATAAAATTTTTGACAAACTAAACTGCAAAAGAGCGCAGGTAAACAAAGTGGTGGGATTAATTTTCTATTTTCTGGATACTTGGTTGTGAGAAGGAGGCAAGTTGCAGGTTTGCTGACAAAAAAATCTCAGGTTTAGTTTCTGGTACTGAGGAATAAATAACCTGGAATCATGTGTTAGAGCTTCTCTATTATTGGAAACATCATCTATACTTGAAAATCAATTTACCTTGATTACTCTCAAAATGGGAATTGATCCATTTACAGAAGGCAGACATAGGTAAGACTGTTTCTAAAAGAGACCTTTTAACTGGCATGATCTTGGGTCCTGTCTGGTGGCCTCCCCTTGCCTTTCTTGGGCAGTTAATGATTTGGGGATTAAATGAAAGTAGTGTGTTACTGGTGGTGTAGTGAAAAGAAGTGCCCCAGATACCTTTCTGCATTTTCTGTTTTCCTAGTAGATGCAATATCTCCAGGAAATTTATCTCTAAATCCGCACCAGAGCTTGCAGCTTTGTAAGTAAATAGCAACTGAAAAGATCACTGCAGTTAGTTGCTATGCAGTCTTTCAAGAATATCTCTAAGGTGTTGGCAGGACACTTATTCAGGATACTGGAGCAATCTTACTCTTCATATGTATGTTTCCTGCTTGAAGAAACAAATGTTCTAGGACCTGAGCATACAGCTGATTCCTGATCACCTTCCTGTACCTTCTCCTCAAGCCCACAAGTTGTCTCTCGCCCTGAAAGGATTAACTGCCATTATGCTTTTCCAGGATATGGGTGCACATCAGAAAAGATTGTTTAATTGGATAGGGCATTAAATGGACTCGTTGCAGTCAGAGAATTTGCTGATTTGCACAAAGCTGGCATCTGTGTCCTAGAACATGGAAAAAAATGATTAGTGTGATCTGTGACCAGGCTCATTTTCCTTTTTTGGATGCTTATTTTTTAAAGCAAAGATCAGTCAAAACCAGTTCTGTTTTTCCGCAGTGGGTACCCAACTCACAGTGGCTCTGTGGCATACTGTATGAAATGAATGAACAAACAACAAATCTCGGAATCTTCATGCATGTTTTTTAAAAATGAAATCAGTGCTGCCCAAAATCATCATCTGGATCAATTTCAACACTGAGTGCACATACCATGTAAAATCTACAAACAGTTCTGTTGCTAAATCTCAATTGCAGTGCTGTCTGGTAGCAGCCCCTCCCCCATTAAGTTTGACTGGTGGATGGTCTAAGAGAAGCAGCATGAGGGTGGGAAGCACATTGCCCCTTGCCTGCCCTCTGTGCTGGAGGAGGATGCATGGAGGGGCAGAAACCAAGTGGGATGGACCTGGGCCATAAATCGTATGCCAAATTTGGGAGCCAGCCATTTCTTGTCCCCCTTTTTGTTGCATTTAAGGTGTGTTGGTTTTCTCTTTGCTATAATTCAATTGAGTGCCTGAAGGGGTAGCAATGTTGGATATGTCAGAGTTACTAACTCCTTCGTTTCTCTTCCATGCTTTCTCCTCCTGCAAGGAGCGGAAGGTACTCCATCTTCTGCTGTCTTCGCTTCTTAGCATTTTAAGTTGTTTGTTGATTTCTAGCATTGTGGCAAATTTATCTTTTTTAATCTCCCTGTATTTATGTATTGAACTGTAAATGAATTAGTAGTATGTGCTACAATGTTTCAAGTTATATCAGCCGTGATGGTGTTTTTTTTGTTTGTTTTTGAATAAAAAGTTGTCTCTCATTGACTAATCTTGTGTTATTTTCCTCCCTGTTTTGTTGTAGGTTTTCATAGAGCTGAATCACATTAAAAAGTGCAATACTGTGCGAGGAGTCTTTGTCCTGGAGGAATTTGGTAATTACATTATTTTGATATTAGGTCTGTACTCACATGGCAGTAACTCAAATTTCCAGTCCTCAGTCTCAGAGTTGTGTTCATTAGATCAGTGGTTCTTAACCAGTGGTATGCGTGCCCCTGGTGGTATGCAGAGGTCCTCCAGGGGGTACATCAACTCATCTAGGTATTTGCCTAGTTTTACAGCAGGCTACATAAAAAGCTCTAGTGAAGTCAGTACAAAGTAAAATTTCATACAGACAATTACTTGTTTGTACTGCTCTATATACTATACACTGAAATGTAAGTACAGTATTTGTATTCCAATTGATTTATTTTATAATTATACGGTAAAAATTAGAAAGTAAGCAATTTTTCAGTAATAGTGTGCTGTGACACTTGTATTTTTCTGTCTGATTTTGTATGCAAGTAGATTATAAGTGAGGTGTACCTTGGGGGTACACAAGACCAACCAGACTCCTGAAAGTAGTCTGGAAAGGTTGACAGCCACTTCACTAGATGTTAGGCAGTTTCAAAGACAGGGAGAAATATAGATTGCATCTGAGAGACTGTCTGATTGACTAGGAGGATGGGTGTCTTGACACGATCAGAGTAAACTTGTAGATTTTCATAATCATGGCTTGTAGTGTAGATGCACTTTGTCAGTATGCCATTGAAATCACTTTGTGCAGCATGGATAACAGTAATGAGTCAATGAAGTGGGAGGTGCTTAGAAATTATTTCTTCAAAAGCCTCCTCTCCGCAGAAGTCATGATCAAATGTGTCATATAATAGTCTGAGAGACTGATTGTTGCTCACAGTGAAATTTCCCCTTTGCTGCTCCAGGCAAGTTTTATTTTTATTCTGGAAAAAGATGTTGTTTCTGGACTGCAGTTTAGTCAATGGTTTTATTTTCAGTGTGAGAATTGTGGTGGAGGAGAGAGATGATGGTAGAGGAACTGGAGAACTAGTGCTATTTGGCCAGTGATTGCAGTTAAATATAATCCTCTTAAACCCAGACTGGGCAATATTCAGAAGTTTCTCAATATCAGTGTGATTCATAATATTCTGAACCACTGTTTGAAAAAATAGGGGTCTTTTAAGATTTTGAAGGTTTATAAAACATCTGAACCTTTCACACCCTCTGAAATGGTCCTCTCAAGGATTCCAAGTCTGGAGTGGTTTATTCTTTCATCTGTGGCTGCACGTTTGTTTAGATATTCACAGAAATGTGAAACTTTTCTTTTAAAAGGTTAAATTTACAAATTGATTTCAATATTTGATCAGTGCTAATTTTTTCTTACATCCATCATTTAAAAGAAATGGTGTCTTGATTTTCAGACATTCTGGTTCTTTTCCACTGCTTTGGATTAAAGGGCACTGACTCATGGATCCTCTTTCCTAATATTCAAAGAAATGTAACTGATATTGGGATCTGGAAGCTTCATGTCCTGATCTTGACTTCTGTACTGCCGCCTTTCTGTTATGATACCAAGTCCTTCAAATGATACCATTGGATGTCATGAATCAGAGTACAATGACTGGAAGGCAATTGAGCCACTGGCTAAGAGACTTGGTGTATCACTTCATGAACAGGTTTTTCCCCTTTACCTTTTCTGAAACTATCTTGTCACACACACACACACACACACACACACACACACACACACACACACACTCTCAGAACAATAGTAAT